ACTCCAGTTTTTTTTTTTCTTGTCATTATTTTTTATATATTAATTTACAATTTGCTATATTTATAATGGAAGAGTGTACAATATCAGAAATAGGACATGTATAGATATAAACAATGTAGACATTGGGATCAATAATGCATGGTGACTGTCAGTTTCATGCCTCAAAGCAATTCTTCAGACAAAAATGGTATTGGTTTGAAGATTGCATTGAGGTGTGAAATTGACAGTTACTACGCAATATGGATTCCTATATCCGCATCATATATCACATTTTTCATAAAGCATTTACTTACTATTACATGAATGTCAAGTTTCAAAAAATTCAAGGGAGATAACTCATTTATTTTGGAGAGTCTCCGAGTTGATTCTGGAGGACGTAACAAGATGAAATATCTGTTCAAAAATGATCAGATACAACAGTGTGTGTCTGCGCATGCGTGCTCGCACAGACACACACAGAAATACAAACAGTAGAAAGTAGACAAAGTGTTTAAGCAAAGAGGTGGTGGGGGTCACTAAATAACATTTTAACCAATTCAATTTTACTCAACAAGTCACATACAGAAGGTCTCATGCCTTCTTTACATGTCATACTGTATTCAAGTATAATTAGTTTGCACTTGTGCATACTTGTAAAATCCACAATGACCTAAAGGTATTAATGTCAATATTGTTTAGCCGAAAAAAAAAAAAAAAGAGAGAAAATAAAATCTCGCTTTGAAAAGATCAGACTTTTTTTTCTATCACAATGACGGCATTTCATGTCATTCGTCATTTAATAAGTAAAATCATATAAACACAGATTGACATTTACACTAACATCTAAGAAAAGTCATTAGAAAAATTAAATATATGTTGCAAAGTGAAACTAAAGAATTTTGTATCTTCTGGCCTGACAAACATAAAAGCTTGACATTATTCGTTTGCTTGCCAAAATTAAATTTTGTTGTCAAATTTGAATAAAAAGTTATCGTTATTATTTTAAATATATGAAATCAATCTAATTGGATAGCATTTGGCAAAAATCAAAGATAAATTCAAATTATTCAATTAAATGATAAAAAATTATTAAAATGATTAAAAATTAAATCCAGATTCATTAACTTTCACCTTAAAATACTTCCAAGAGAACAACAGGTTTAACAATAGAATAAATGGGAAAATATAGACTCAAAGCATATATTATATAACATGCACAAATTTGTTAGATACTAATCCAAAAGAATGATAAATATACAAGACAATTTGGAAAACTTCTATTTTAATGTTTTGACGATCAATTGGCAGCATCAGAAAAAGAACCTTAAGGAAATCTACATTAGCAAAAGATGATTTGTGATACACTTTAAGCATAATAAAGTTTGTTTCATAGGTTAGATTTTAATTAATTTCAAATCACTTTTATATTAAAAAATGAAAATAAAAGCCATGTTGAAATTAGTTAAAATTCGATTTCCCTAACAATTCGATTGAAATAAAAATCAAGTGTTCAGCCATTTTATCTGGATAATATTGATTTTTTTTTTTTTTTGAGAAATAATTCTTTTTCTCATGGGTCCGGTTCATCAAGAAAACATGACAAAGTATAAAAAAAAAGTTCCTCATTAAGATATACACATACATACATACACACACGCACATGTGGTTTATTCATACAATTCAAAAAGCTGGCAACAATATATTCTCATCAATCTTGGATTTTTAACTTTTTCAAATTTAAGAATAAATGACTACAGAGCAGAATTTAAAATAAAAAATATTTGAAAAAATAAAATGAAATGAAAAAGCTAACATGAAACAAAAATTAAAAGCAATGTAATAGCAGATTGTTTTCACCACTTTACTAATGATATATTCCGTCATGGCAACAAGACAGGTTTATTTTTTGGCATCAAGTAATGCCACTTGTTACCATAACAATGGGATATCTCACCAGTACTGAAAACAAGCTGCATGACTTAAAATTACAAAATGTATGTATATTAAATGTAATGCATTAAATCGACAGATATTTTAATATATTTTCTGTTTATACAATATTTTTACAACTTTTTTAAATAAATGCTGTTTTTAATTAAAATTTCACAGAAAATATGCATCTTCTGACAGGAATTGATTGTGTATCCTAAATGGAACCGTTTAGCCTGATGTGCAATTAATTTCTTGAATATTCAAGCTGGTAAATGTAATTAATACTGTTTAATTAAAAAGCAGAGCCTTTACTCAAATAAGCAGTATCCATAAAAATAACAAACAGAAAATATATTAAAATATGCATGTATATATGTAGGCAGTTATCCTCCTTTTTATGCAGGTTTCAGATAAACTTACAAAATATTCTTTGTCTATTGTGTTCTAATAATTTTTGGAAGATAAATTGTGTAGAGGAATTGTCTATAGTGTTTATTTGTTGCCACAAGAATTAAACCCGTTTGAAAACGTATAAAGTATTGGCCATAAGCACTTGAGACAAGGAACACTATGGACACAATTAGCCTTCCAAAAAAAATTATTAGGACAAGAAAAACTGAATGAAAAATAAAAACTGGTCTATCCTATTCAATGAAACAATGTTTGTATGCACATGCTGAAATTTTTTCAACCTGACCTGTTGATATATATTCATATATATGAATGTGAAGTGTGAGTTATCCCCCTTTGATAATAGCCTGTTTGGAGTTTACTGAGGTAGGTGGGGTGGCAGCTAATTTGCATGACAGTTATAATGAATGGTTGGCCAATCAAGGCTAATCTCATTGCTGCAGAAATTTGTTATTACATATATATATATATATATATATATATAAAATGTGTGTATATAAGATGAACTGATGATTGTATTTAAGCATGAAACAGACTGTTGCTGCTGGGTGTTAAACTCAATGTATACTTTTATATCTATATATCCTCTATCCTTGATATTGAGTACTTTAATCCATAAATATAGCATACCATATATATATATATATATATATATATATATATATATGAGAGAGAGCATGCATTTTCCCTCTAAACAATGAGAGAAGTCTAGTTTGCAGGTGGGGGAATCTTACAGCCAATGCGACAGTGGTCACAGTGACGGAGACATTTTAGTCCTTGACCCATATGTACACATCTGATAGCAATGCCTGAAGTCAAAGTGGTTGCTGGTAGAATTTAGATATAATGATGCAATTTCTAAACAGCACCTCTTGATCATGATATAGTTAAAAAATAATTGCTTGCCCTTGGTGATTATTAAAAAGTAATTATTCCAAAGATGTTTCAGGCGGCTGATACTGATAAACTTGGGTCTAAATTTATTGTAAAACCAGAAGGTCCGAGTTTTGTTGCATTGATCTGAATGTGTAACAAATTGCAGATCAAGATGAATACGTTTAAGCCCTCAAATAAACTGAACCTAAATGTCTATACATTGTAAAAAAAGACAAAAAAGATAGCATTTGTTAAGGTAGTTGATGAGGAGAAACTAAACTGGTTGGCAGCACAAACAAGTCATGATTTTAATTTTCATCTTAAAGAGAACAAAATGGAGTCAAATAGATAAGTAAATAAAATTATGAAGAAGTCAAAGAAACAAAAGTCATTTAGTAACATTCTAAGACTTGGCCATTATGATACAGATTTGCCAATCTTGCTGATGCTGGAAGCAATGTATTTTTTGCCAATTGGCATTCCATTTGATAGATTAATTAAAGCTATAGAAACATTGGCAACATATATAGATATAGTAGTGGCCTACATTTTCTACAAAGAGTTTATTTGTGATTTTCTGTATGAAAATGTTAACTTGCCTGTCATTTGTAAGACAGAAAATTCAACCCTATATGACTTCATACACACTCCAAAATTAAAATAATTGACAAAAGGTGAAGGATAAAAATGGGCATACGTAGAGAAATGCTGACCTGAAATGAAATACAAGATAGCCAAAAGAATATCAAATTGCTGAAAGACTTATTTTGTGTAAAGAAGTAGTATTTGATTAATGATAACAAACTATACATGTACCAGTTCTTCATAAAAAACAGTATTCTACACTTCAGATTTATACAGACACAAAAAAAGGAACAGAGCAATTATATATATATATATATATATATATATATATATGTGTGTGTTAAATTATATCTTCAAATCTATGTGAGTTATACCTCCTTAATAAAAACCTGTTTGGAGTTTGTCTAGGTAAGCAACACTGACACATAATTTATATGGAAGTTGTGGTAATGAGAGCTTAGTCAATCGGTGTTAACATCATTGCTATAGAAATTGTCATTTCTCAATGAAATGAAGTGGGTAAAATATTACATAAATGTTTTTGCCCAACAGATTTTTTTTATACATTGAAAAATGTTGTCATAAAAAGTTAAATGAAATCCAATTTGATGCATATGTTTTTTTTCCTTCTGAAAATATGTGACCAAAAGGCTAAACATCAGAACATTGGGGAGGATTCCCATTTTTGGTCAGGCTAAAAACATTTCAGCCTCACCTTCTTCCTATATATATATATATATATATATATATATATATATATATATATATATATATATATGACACACACAAAGCCAATTTGGGACATTCCTTAATTTTATCTTGCATTTCTTTGAGTAAATTAAATCACAATATGTACAGACAAAATTCAAAACAGTTTAGTAAGTCTGTTTGAGCAAAAGAAACTAAATCACATTCACATCCTTTTTCTCTTTTTCATTCTTTTTCTTATTCACTCTTTTTTCATTCTTTTTCTTATTCACTCTGGTCACAGTTTCTTTGTTTTTGTTAGGTTTTGTTAGGTTTTGTTTTTTTTTATTTTTTGTTTTTACAAGTATAAAAATAAAACATATGAAATTATGTTATCAAAAAAAGGTTTTTCTTTGATGTTTTCAAAAAAGCTTTAGTCTTCCACATATTTCTTTTTATATATTAGGGTGGGAGAATTAAAAATTAGAAAGGAATTGCACAGAACGAGAATATTTTGATGTTGTTTGCTGTTACGTCTCTAGACCATGTGTTGGATTCTTGAATGTGGTGCTTGCTGGTTCATAAATAGGATTTGATTGCTGAAAACAACAAGAAAAAAGATCCTATAGATAATCATACATTACTGAGGAATATGGATTTTACACAAACAAATTGCTAAAACATTTATTTGTACAGATTAATGGATTTGCTGAGTTACAGAGAAAAAGAACTAAAAAAAAAAAAATTCAAGCGTGTAGTGAGGGAACAAAGGACTTTTTCAGCTTTTTATCTTCAATTAAAACTATAATTTATAACAATATTTTTTTCACTGAAGAGATGAAGTCTCAGCAAAATAAAACTTAAAAATCTCTCAAAACTCAGATCAAAAGCAGGTCCTCATTTTCAATGGGCAGAGAAAGAAAGATTAATTACCACAAGGAAATTGTGGATTTTAGTAGCACGATGCCAACTACAAAAGTTTCTTTCTCCTGCTTAAAAGGTAAATGTTCTTTTTTTCATTTACTGCAGATGTAGTTTATGAATTAGTAATGGCCAAGCAGAATATGGTTTTGGAAAAAGAAAAAGTTCTTTCCTATCTTTCAAGTAACATCAGGTAGAATGACTTGTAATTGTTTGGTTTGGTTTGTTTTATGGCATATCAACATCTCAATGGGTTCTTTAATGCCAACATTTTGCTGACAATATTTATTTTTCCAAAAATGTATTGCTGGTAGTATTTTTCTTTTTCAAAGTATTATTGGTATTAAAACCTATTTTTACACTTTCATAGTGTTTTGCTCTTAGTTTGGGGGTTAACTATTTGCCCTTAGCTAGGACCCGGACAGGTGCTACAACCCCAGGGCAGAGCGGACACAGGAACATCAACAATTGAGATGGTTCAATGCTCCTCAAAAACTCCTGATGAGAGGCGTTTAAGTTTATCATCTTACCCAGGACACAGATTTAGTTTATTGTCATAGCCATTAATTAGAAGTCCTGTCCTTGGTAACAGAAATTAAAGTCCCAAATTAAAATTCAGGACGATTTTCCTGTGTTTTCATTTTCAAAAAGAAATATTAGACACTATATTTAAGACTTAAAAGAAAATAAAAATTGTGCAAAATTGATGGGATAGCTTTCTAAACCCCAAACAAAGTAACATCTGCATTGGCAAAATGGTTCTATTTCAAATGAAAGATATTGTTCAAAATGTTTCAATTTGCCATGAGAGAAACACCATAGCCTCTTATTTTATTCACTACAATAACTAACCACTCCCCCACTATCCAGAACAATTGAGGGTCGGAGAAAATGTTAATTTCCGATTATATTTTGTAACTGGGAATTATTTATAAACAATATATACAAGTGGGAGAGAATGTTGAAAAGTTAATAACTCTCTTCTAAAAATCAGTCCAAATGACTAGACATTAGAATTTTATTGGAATCACTTGTTGATCAAACAACTTTTCAGCACCCCCTCACAAAATATATGGTTTCATTTTATCTTATTACTTTGATCAGTTTGAAAATCCTTACAAGTAAATCTTAACTTGTAAGATGAAATGATCATAACTACGAGGTAATTTTAAATTCCTATTGTATTTTTTATATATATATATATATATATATATATATATATATATATATATATATATGTGTGTGTGTGTGTGTGTGTAAACAAAAATAAAAAACCACTTAAAAAAACAAATTGTTCCTGTCAAAAATAAAACAAGGTAACAAAAAGAGCCAATTCTCCAAGATGATGAACCTTCAGAGATTGTTGGTCCCTTCACCAATCTAGGAGGCAACATTGCTAACAACAGAGGCTCGGAGATTGATATGGTGAAGGGGTTTCAGAAGTCTGCAGCTGTATTCCAACACCTAGAACTTATAATGGTCTAGATCTTCAATTGGCAAAGACACCAGGATCTGACTGTACACGTCTATTGTCCAACCAATGGCGATTGATGCTAGTAAGATTTAGATTGATTGATTTGTTTTTACAGTTTATCAACCTTTTCTCATTTTTAGATTGCAAGAATTTTGGAGAAAGAATGATTTTTCCCAATACAAGTTCTGCTAATTAACCCATAGCTGAGGGGAAAAGGGTCCATAACTTTCCCAAGGGTATTTGTATGTAAATCAATATAACAAACCCAACAGGAATTGAAACCTATTTCCAATCCCAAGCCATTATACCACCCACACCTCCAAGCTTACAACTACTGGTATTCCCAAGCAGACACCCATCTAAGTATTAAACAGGCTGGATGTTGCTTAACTTTTTGTGATTGTATGAGAACCAGTGTTTCAATATGATATGGCTGTAAGCCACGAGATCTGGAAAGAGAGCAGCAAAATCTGAAGCCTTGTTGACATTTTCCATAGATGTTGCTTGAGAACCATATACCATCTATCATAATCCTTTGAAACACTGGTTCATGTACAATCAGCTAAGTTAAGCAATATTGAGCTTGATCAGTACCTAGATGGGTGACCACTTGGGAATATCAGGTGCTGTAAGCTTGGATGTGTAGGATTGGATCATGGCTTGGAATTGTTAATCAGAGAGCCAAGTTCCATTTCCAGTTGGGGTCATTATATTCACTTATGCAGCAATATAAATCCATCTCTTCTCCTCCCAGCTATGGGTTAATTAGTAAAACTTGTATCACTAGATCATTATTGTCTCAAAATAAAAAAATAAATAAATAAATAAATTTTTTTTTAAAATTCTGGCAAAGGGTTGATAAGCCATAGAAAACTAATACATTAAATCATCAGGAACATGTTACAAATGAAGATGTCCTGTAGAGAGCAGGTTTGTGTAACCTAAAAAATGTAATCACCATGAGACAGAGATGCTTGATTATCAAATACTAATGCCTACACAGTGACTAACTAGAGTTTTCCTGAAAAGGAAACCAGTAAAAGAGAGGCAAACCTCTCAAAACATGGCCAAAGACTATACAAAAAGATCTCATAGAAAGGGGCCTGACCTGGGATGAAGTTTGGGATAGAACAAGAAGTTGATATGAATAGAGGACATGCAACACCCAATGCTCCCAACAGAGAAAACTAAGAAAATGTATAAGCAAAGTGATTAAAGTAAAATGGAAAGTATTTTGTTCAGACTCACCTGAGTCCATTTCGCTTTTTCTCTATCTTCATTAAAACGTGCCATTTCCCGTTTGTCATAATACCTGACTACAAGTTTCCAAATAACCAATATTAATATTCCAATGAAAAAGATTCCTCCCACAATGCCAGCAATGAGCATCTTTATATCAATCTCTTTGGTGCAATCCGATTCTGCAAAGAAAAAAAAAGTCACCATGAGGAAAATTTATTCAATTATAAAAATCTTCTAAAATAGAAACTTTTCTTTAACATGCAATTCTATAAACACTTCATTTTAACAATTTTAATTGATAATTTCCAATACAGGAAAAAAACAATTTTAAATATTTTTAGCATCACTTCCTTTCCTCTTCACCCATCATGTTGGGGATTATATTTTTTTTTTTTCAATAGCTTTTGCACTTAGCAAGTGTGATACAGTTTTCATCATACTGCCAGGACATCTTTTACGGAATTTTATGAGAATAATTTTCTTACCAAAATTCTCATGTACCTTGTCAAGAGTCAATGAAAACACAATGAAAGTATAAAAATAGATTTTTTAGACCAGAAGTGGCAGCAATACATTTTTTTTTAAAAAAAAAAATATTACCAGCAATACAATTGACTCTCAACAAAAAAACATCTTTTAAAAAAATATGTCAACAAACCCGATTCTCCTACAGAATGATTTCTTTACAAAGAATACAGATTCTGTTCATATGGACATATCCTAAAAATCTTGTTGGAATTAAATAACCCATTGAGGATGATATGCTGTAAAACAAAATAAATGAAACCAGACCAAAGAGCCAATGAAAATATCTGAGAATTGCTACTTTGTGGGAAAAGACATCTATAAGGATGCTTCCCCTAATGACTAAAATCTTAACTTCTTCAAATCTAGGGACAACCCTTATCTATTGACATATTCTATGATCTGCACAATCCTCATATGTACATATAAAAATCTCATTCAGTAATCCTCTACCTTGAGTGGCTTGTTGCGGGTTGTAGCTGAGTGAAAATGTATCAGAAGGTAATTTATGTAAGGCAAAGGTTATGTGTGCTTATTATACATTATCCCACAACACATAGATCAAATAAAGACTATAAGGACAATTTGTATTGCAAGAAATTACTAAAAACACAGTGGTTAGAGATCCAAGAATAAAGAGATTTTTTATATATACAATAGATATACATGCAAGGATAACAGAATGTTTGTTGATTGTGGCAATTGAGACAAGATTATGAAGAATGTTCATGCAGAAATTTGGTCAATAAAAAATAATGGTTTTGATAGTGAAATTAAAATAATTTGTTTTGCTGCAAGGACAAATCTCAAATGTGTTCATTCAAATAATAGTGTGTATGCGTGTGTTACTTGTTAGTTAGAATTTAAGATCTGAAGAGTTGTTTGCCTTTAACTGTTTGGCTAAATTGATGAATTGTACAATTACTGTTTGTGTAGTGAAAACATTCATTTTTTAAGTCAATTGTAATTTGATTACCATGCGGACAATGATCAATTGAGTGCTGTGTTGAGAATTTTGAAGTGATATTGAGTCAGTGAATTGTCACGTAGAGTTTGGTAGCATCTCACGAAACTCGATGACTGACCGACTCGAGTCATGCAGCTGTTTATATAGACTTTGGTGTTTAAAAAACGGCTCCAGGGAGCTTTGGCGGGAAAAAGGATCTGTTTCGACTTTGCTACAGTTTAGTGTTTCTTAACCAATGGAAGATTGAATTTACTGAAACGAAGTGGTGATTGGTTAAGGCTTTTTTCAGGGAAGAATACATCTTTCCGAAAGGGATGGAAGGCTAATGTGGAAGATTTCACAGGCTCTTAGGCTTTGTAATGGATGAACAATAGCATGAAAAAGATCTCAATTGAGTAACACAGTACAAATGATATTGATGCCTTTTTTTTAAAATGGCATCAAAGTATTTACAGTAATATTTCTGTTTTATTTTTATTAATTTTTTTAAAATCACAACATTTTGATGTTTACCACCTCTAAACGTCTGAGGGTATGTTTTGCACATTTTAGAATTTAGACTCCTATTCTAAGAATAACTGGAAAGTGCAGTCATTGAAAATGTAAAAAAGATGTGAAAAAAAAAAAATTGCCTAAGGAAAAGATGTTAAAAAAAGAATTAGCATTGTTGGGGAACATTAATGAAAAGAATGAAATTATGTAAATAAGACAAACTGGCAGAGAGGTACTGAAAAGAACAACAGTTTGTTTTCAAGTATCAAAATTTCTTGAATGTAGTTTGAGTTCATTATTAAAATTCTACAATCAATCACATGCTCCCCCCACACATGCTCATAGCACATAATTGAGAAATTGAGATGTTTAAAGGGTCCACAAAGAAACAGTGAACTTGGGAAATTTAAAAACTGTAGCATATTATATATATTTGTTATGTCTAAGTTTTTTCAATAAAGCTGATTAGCTTTTATAAGGATTTTGAAAAAGGATATTAAAACCTAACGAGAAAGAAGAACATGTTTGTTAGCAAGAAACAATCTGAGAATAAAGTTGACTATTAGTATGGACGCTAAGGGTAGGAGGCAATAAGAAAATAATGTCAATTGATAACACTGTCATATTGAAGTTTTTTTGGGGGGTTGTTTTTTTTGCTTACTCTTACCTTTGAACCTTTCGGATCTGAAACAATTTCCCTACCATTTCTTTTTGATGGTTTGGTGATGAATGATACAATCATTAAATTCAAACAAGCAAAGTTTTTGTTCACCTAAAAGTACAAGAAAATAAGTAAAATTACATTTTTTATATTAAAAAAACTCAGAGAGAGACTTTAATATCCCAAGAGAAGTCTACTCTATAGTGATGAATGAATTGACCAGGTTTGTGTAATGAACTTGTTAGGGGTTGTAGTAGAAATGCCACAATATGTTTATACTAGGAATATTGTGTTAAAGAAATTCTTAAATTACAATTGGCCCTCAAGATAGACATTTACAGTAAAATAAATTCATATAATGACTGATGCAACAAGAGAAGCAGTGACTAACAAATTATGACAGTCTTATAAATGCAATTCTTCATACAATGATTAATCTATCAAAGCCCATCATCAAATGATGACCTTGTCTTTTCAGGGCCCACAGTATCAATACCAGTAACTCAGAGGGAGCAACCCAAAAAGTTTCTAATTGGTTAGAAAGATTGAATGACAAAAATTGATTTTTTTGTAAAGGGTGATCATTATGTTGAATGGAATTTATGCTTGAACTTAAATTATTAGAATTTGGTCTGCTAGAATCTAATAATTGGATGAAACCTGTTTAGCACTTTGTAAAAAGTGTCAATATGTTGGTTTGTGTGTGTGTGTGTGTGTGTGCAAAAGTTCCCAACACTCTTTTGAAAAGTAAATGAATAAACAGTAGGAAACTTTTTGTTTTTAAATAAAAAATACTGGAAACTTGAATCCTATTGAACATGAATGCTAGACATTCTTTTATAATCACAATGTTTTTATTTTATTTTAATGCAAGTGCATGTGCTGAAAAATTCTAAGACTAACTCGCTTCTCCAAATTTGACATATTTTTGAAAAGACTTCTTGGTTTGACAAAGAGCCTTTCAGCACTCACTCATAATTTTGCATTAAAAGTTTAAAAAACACTTGATTTCTACTTTGTTTCTTACAAACAATTAATTGGGAGTCCAAAGTCAACAGGGCTTTTTTTTTCTTTACTTGCTTATTTTACAAGATTAAGTTTATGCTTGGACATATTTCCAGTATCAAAAAAAGGACTCTTACCTTCTGTTGGTTTTTCAAATGTTTCAACAATTTCAACTTCTTTATGTTTACAAATTTTATTACATGCAGAGGAATTGTTCTCAGCCTCGTTTGTTTTCATTTTGATACATTTCACGCACTCTTTGTCAGCTGAACATTTGTTTGGACAACTCTGCATAAGAAAAAAAAAAAAAAAAAAAAAGAAAGAAGAAAATTATTAATTCATACACATAAAAGAAAAAAAAGGTGAATGTAGTTAAAAAGAAAATTCAACTGCACTGAGAAATAAAGTGTCATTGGGAGAAAATTCTAGAATAATAGTTTTCAACTTACAGGACAATCTTCACAAGTTCTGCCCTTGTAGCCAGATGACGCATTGCATTTACAGACCCCACATTCACATACTCCATAGCCATTACAGATTTTCTAAAGAAAATAAAATTTACATACATTAAAACACATGCACAAAAGACACCATTATAAAAAAAAAAAAAAAATATCTAAATTTTAATAGTTTTTAAATTCAGTTTCTAAATCTTCTGTAAAATTAACAAAATTAAAAGAAATTTAAATAAAAAAAAAATTAGAACTTTAAAATCTAATATTGAATTTTAAAAGTTCTTGAACCATTATTTTCCCCAAATATATAACATGCACATATAAACAGGCAAGAAATATTTAGGAAAAATACAACTATTCAACTGCTGATTCTTTCAAATAGATATGAGGTGGTACTGAAAAGTTCTCAGCTTGACATGTAAAAAAAAAAAAAAAACTTGTTTGGCCAGAGAAGTATTTGGAACTTAGCATCCCCACTCAATTTGTCCTCTTTTTTTTTTTTTTTTTTCTATTTTAAGATTTTTTTGGATTTTTTAATGATAATTGTTTATATTGAGAGATTTAATTCTGTGATCCCTGGCCAATCAGTGTGTCATATAAGGGATGTTTATGTGTTTGTCTCGATCAGGTAATTCATCCATCAGAGAAGATGTAGAATGACTTGGGGAGGATTGTTATTATATACAAGTCCATCTTATTTACTTGAAAATTACAATAATTCTTCATCTTTCCTGTAATTCTTTCTTTCCAATGTTGCATTTGGCTTATTTTGTAGCCAAATTAGAAGAAAAAAAATTAAATTACCATTTTATAAACCCACTGATAAATTTTAAAACTTTCTTTGAAGTCTTAATTCGTTTTCATTTTGTTTTGTTGAGATTATTAAAAAGTAACAAAAAAAGCTCATTGTGCCAAGAGTTAATATGAATTTCTATAATAAAAATAATACTTTACTTTTTGTGAGTGAACACTGACAATTTTTTGAGAAAAACAATGATTTTTCCAGATACACGTCCTACTATATAACCCATAGCTGGTGGGGAGAGATGAGTATTTGTAAGTAAGTGAATGCAATGAACCTGACTGAATTTGAACCTGGCTCTCAGATTTCTAATCTTAACTGCTATCCATTGCACCACCCACACATCCACCCAAACTAACAAAAACTAAACCCTGCAATTCTCATATAACTACACTTGTCAAACATCCAAGTTAGCATCTAAATAAGGAGAGATAGAAAAACTTTTAAGACTGATATATAATATTACAAATGAATAAATTTTTTGAGAAAGCAAACCAGTGTTATTTTTGGTATCCAGATGAAGATATAAAAAAAAAAAAATCTTACTCCATTTTACGGAATTTTATGAGAATAATTTTCTTACCAAAATTCTCTCATGTATTTTGTCAAGAGTCAATGAAAACACAATGAAAGTATAAAATAGATTTTTTAGACCAGAAGTGGCAGCAATACATTTTTTTTAAAAAAAAAATATTACCAGCAATACAATTGACTCTCAACAAAAAAACATCTTTACAAAAATATGTCAACAAAACCCGATTCTCCTACAGAATGATTTCTTACAAAGAATACAGATTCTGTTCATATGGACATATCCTAAAAATCTTGTTGGAATTAAATAACCCATTGAGGATGATATGCTGTAAAACAAAATAAATGAAACCAGACCAAAGAGCCAATGAAAATATCTGAGAATTGTTACTTTGTGGGAAAAGACATCTATAAGGATGCTTCCCTAATGACTAAAATCTTAACTTCTTCAAATCTAGGGACAACCCTTATCTATTGACATATTCTATGATCTGCACAATCCTCATATGTACATATAAAAAATCTCATCCAGTAATCCTCTACCTTGAGTGGCTTGTTGGGGTTGTAGCTGAGTGAAAATGTATCAGAAGGTAATTTATGTAAGGCAAAGGTTATGTGCTTATTATACATTATCCCACAACACATAGATCAAATAAAGACTATAAGGACAATTTGTATTGCAAGAAATTACTAAAACACAGTGGTTAGAGATCCAAGAATAAAGAGATTTTTATATATACAATAGATATACATGCAAGGATAACAGAATGTTTGTTGATTGTAGCAATTGAGACAAGATTATGAAGAATGTTCATGCAGAAATTTGGTCAATAAAAAATAATGGTTTTGATAGTGAAATTAAAATAATTTGTTTTGCTGCAAGGACAAATCTCAAATGTGTTCATTCAAATAAAGTATGTATGCGTGTATTGTTAGTTAGAATTTAAGATCTGAAGAGTTGTTTGCCTTTAACTGTTTGGCTAAATTGATGAATTGTACAATTACTGTTTGTAGTGAAAACATTCATTTTTAAGTCAATTGTAATTTGATTACCATGCGGACAATGATCAATTGAGTGCTGTGTTGAGAATTTTGAAGTGATATTGAGTCAGTGAATTGTCACGTAGAGTTTGGTAGCATCTCAATAAAACTCGATGACTGGACCTAATCGAGTCATGCAGCTGTTTATATAGACTTTGGTGTTTAAAACGGCTCCAGGAGCTTTGGCGGAAAAAGGATCTGTTTCGACTTTGCTACAGTTTAGTGTTTCTTAACCAATGGAAGATTGAATTTACTGAAACGAAGTGGTGATTGGTTAAGGCTTTTTTCAGGGAAGAATACATCTTTTCGAAAAAGGATGGAAGGCTAATGTGAAAGATTTCACAGGCTCTTAGGCTTTGTAATGGATGAACAATAGCATGAAAAAGATCTCAATTGAGTTAAATGATATTGATGCTTTTTTAAAATGGCATCAAAGTATTTACAGTAATATTTCTGTTTTATTTTATTAATTTTTTAAAATCACAACATTTTGATGTTTACCACCTCTAAACGTCTGAGGGTATGTTTTGCACATTTTAGAATTTAGACTCTATTCTAAGAATAACTGGAAAAAGCAGTCATTGAAAATGTAAAAATGTGAAAAAAAAAAAAATTGCCTAAGGAAAAGATGTTAAAAAAAGAATTAGCATTGTTGGGGAACATTAATGAAAAGAATGAAATTATGTAAATAAGACAAACTGGCAGAGAGGTACTGAAAAGAACAACAGTTTGTTTTCAAGTATCAAAATTTCTTGAATGTAGTTTGAGTTCATTATTAAAATTCTACAATCAATCACATGCTCCCCCCACACATGCTCATAGCACATAATTGAGAAATTGAGATGTTTAAAGGGTCCACAAAGAAACAGTGAACTTGGGAAATTTAAAAACTGTAGCATATTATATATATTTGTTATGTCTAAGTTTTTTCAATAAAGCTGATTAGCTTTTATAAGGATTTTGAAAAAGGATATTAAAACCTAACGAGAAAGAAGAACATGTTTGTTAGCAAGAACAATCTGAGAATAAAGTTGACTATTAGTATGACGCTAAGGGGTAGGAGGCAATAAGAAAATAATGTCAATTGATAACACTGTCATATTGAAGTTTTTTTGTGGGGGGTTGTTTTTTTTTGCTTACTCTTACCTTGAACCTTTCGGATCTGAACAATTTCCCTACCATTTCTTTTGATGGTTTGGTGATGAATGATACAATCATTAAATTCAAACAAGCAAAGTTTTTGTTCACCTAAAAGTACAAGAAAATAAGTAAATTACATTTTTTTTATATTAAAAAACTCAGAGAGAGACTTTAATATCCCAGAGAAGTCTCCATTTATAGTGATGAATGAATTGACCAGGTTTGTGTAATGAACTTGTTAGGGTTGTAGTAGAAATGCCACAATATGTTTATACTAGGAATATTGTGTTAAAGAAATTTTAAATTACAATTGGCCCTCAAGATAGACATTTACAGTAAAATAAATTCATATAATGACTGATGCAACAAGAGAAGCAGTGACTAACAAATTATGACAGTCTTATAAATGCAATTCTTCATACAATGATTAATCTATCAAAGCCCATCATCAAATGATGACCTTGTCTTTCAGGGCCCACAGTATCAATACCAGTAACTCAGAGGGAGCAACCCAAAAGTTTCTAATTGGTTAGAAAGATTGAATGACAAAAAATTTTTTTTTGTAAAGGGTGATCATTATGTTGAATGGAATTTATGTTGAACTTAAATTATTAGAATTTGGTCTGCTAGAATCTAATAATTGGATGAAACCTGTTTAGCACTTTTGCAAAAAGTGTCAATATGTTGGTTTTTGTGTGTGTGTGTGTGTGTGTGCAAAAGTTCCCAACACTCTTTTTGAAAAGTAAATGAATAAACAGTAGGAAACTTTTTGTTTTAAATAAAAATACTGGAAACTTGAATCTTATTGAACATGAATGCTAGACATTCTTTTATAATCACAATGTTTTTATTTTATTTTAATGCAAGTGCATGTGCTGAAAAATTCTAAGACTAACTCGCTTCTCCAAATTTGACATATTTTTTGAAAAAGGCTTCTTGGTTTGACAAAAGAGCCTTTCAGCACTCACTCATAATTTTGCATTAAAAGTTTAAAAACACTTGATTTCTTACTTTGTTTCTTACAAACAATTAATTGGGAGTCCAAAGTCAACAGGGCTTTTTTTTTCTTTACTTGCTTATTTTACAAGATTAAGTTTATGCTTGGACATATTTCCAGTATCAAAAAAAGGACTCTTACCTTCTGTTGGTTTTTCAAATGTTTCATAATTTCAACTTCTTTATGTTTACAAATTTTATTACATGCAGAGGAATTGTTCTCAGCCTCGTTTGTTTTCATTTTGATACATTTCACGACTCTTTGTCAGCTGAACATTTGTTTGGACAACTCTGCATAAGAAAAAAAAAAAAAAAAAAAAAAGAAAGAAAATTATTAATTCATACACATAAAAGAAAAAAAAAGGTGAATGTAGTTAAAAAAAGAAAATTCAACTGCACTGAGAAATAAAGTGTCATTGGGAGAAAATTCTAGAATAATAGTTTTCAACTTACAGGACAATCTTCACAAGTTCTGCCCTTGTAGCCAGAATTGTATTTACAAAAAACATACTTATAAAGATTTTCTAAAGAAAATAAAATTTATATACATTAAAACACATGCACAAAAGACACCATTATAAAAAAAAAAAAAAATATCTAAATTTTTAATAGTTTTTAAATTCAGTTTCTAAATCTTCTGTAAAATTAACAAAATTAAAAGAAATTTAAATAAAAAAAATTAGAACTTTAAAATCTAATATTGAATTTTAAAAGTTCTTGAACCATTATTTCCCAAATATATAACATGCACATATAAACAGGCAAGAAATATTTAGGAAAATACAACTATTCAACTGCTGATTGATTTTCAAATAGATATGAGGTGGTACTGAAAGTTCTCAGCTTGACATGTAAAAAAAAAAAAAAAAACTTGTTTGGCCAGAGAAGTATTTGGAACTTAGCATCCCCACTCAATTTGTCCTCTTTTCTTTTTTTTTTTTTCTATTTTAAGATTTTTTTGGATTTTTTAATGATAATTGTTTATATTGAGAGATTTAATTCTGTGATCCCTGGCCAATCAGTGTGTCATATAAGGGATGTTTATGTGTTTGTCTCGATCAGGTAATTCATCCATCAGAGAAGATGTAGAATGACTTGGGGAGGATTGTTATTATATACAAGTCCATCTTATTTACTTGAAAATTACAATAATTCTTCATCTTTCCTGTAATTCTTTTCTTTTCCAATGTTGCATTTGGCTTATTTTGTAGCCAAATTAGAAGAAAAAAAAATTAAATTACCATTTTATAAACCCACTGATAAATTTTAAAACTTTCTTTGAAGTCTTAATTCGTTTTCATTTTGTTTTGTTGAGATTATTAAAAAGTAACAAAAAAAGCTCATTGTGCCAAGAGTTAATATGAATTTCTATAATAAAAATAATACTTTACTTTTTGTGAGTGAACACTGACAATTTTTTGAGAAAAACAATGATTTTTCCAGATACACGTCCTACTATATAACCCATAGCTGGTGGGGGAGAGATGAGTATTTTACGGTAAGTGAATGCAATGAACCTGACTGGAATTTGAACCTGGCTCTCAGATTTCTAATTCCGAACTGCTATCCATTGCACCACCCACACATCCACCCAAACTAACAAAACTAAACCCTGCAATTCTCATATAACTACACTTGTCAAACATCCAAGTTAGCATCTAAATAAGGAGAGATAGAAAAACTTTTAAGACTGATATATAATATTACAAATGAATAAATTTTCTTGAGAAAGCAAACCAGTGTTATTTTTGGTATCCAGATGAAGATATAAAAAAAAAAAAATCTTACTCCATTTTTGGTCAGACAAGTTGTATAACTCGTTGGGCAGTTACAGTTTGTTCCTGTGTATTCTGGGTGGCAAATGCATTTTCCGCATTTACAAACACCACGGGTTGGACCTATGAAAGAGAAAAAATTAAAAAGTTATAGTATAAAACCAACCCTACCAAAAAAAAAAAAAAAAAAAAATTAAAATCATAGTAAAGGTTTCCCTATTTTACAGCAGAGTCTAAGGGAGGTAATACAGATGCCAAATAAGCAATCAATTTAAATGAGTCAAAATCATCTATTCTCAAGTAACCTGCTCCTGACTACCTTTCCATGGATTCCAGATACCTTCTCTGTTTTTAAGCAAGATATTTATTATCACCGTTTATCCATCATGTTTATAAATGCAATTAGATGTCATTTAAATGGGGAAACTCAGTTCTATAGTGTTTTAGCTTAATTTCAGTTATACAAGATTTTATCTTTTTTATATAAATCTGTTTAAAATGAATGATTGTTTGTAAAATTTCAGAATTGGTCTTAATGTTGACTACTTAAGTAGAATCAAATATTTTAAATATGGAGTCAATTTTTGATTGTCGGACAAATGAATATATTAGATTCAGAAGCACCAAATAATTTATTATAATTAGGAAGAGGAAAATATATTTTAAAATCTAATATATTTTTTTAATCTAAATCTGCTACATTTGATCCTCTTTCCCAACTGGGTTGTCATAAAATATTCCATCCTTAACTGCAACCAAAGAGAATTACATTCTCGACAAATGATAATATGATAAAAGTAATAACAATATAATCATTACTATCAAAATAATTCTTTTATTTCATGTTGAAATAATCGGAGATTCTGTATAGAAATAATACTAGTCATGGTGAATTGCTGTCTTATTTACTTAGTTGTTTTTTCATGAAGAAATCATTTTAGGGATTATATGAAAATCTGAGAGGTCAAAGTGTCCGAGTTGAGATGGCAATAAAACATCCCATTTCAAACCTCGGCCCGCCATGTTCGCATTTCAAATCATGGCCAATCATAAAACCAATAAAGGAGAAGCAGAAACTTACCTCCACATAACATTTTGTTAAAGTTTGGGCAAGAAAAATCATCGCATTCACAGTAAGCACCACTGTAAGTTCGTTTCAAATTGACTGCATTCGATTGACACATTTGGTTGTTACTGCATTCTGCACTTTGGTTGTCACTGAAAAAACAAAATTGACAACATTTCAGGTTTTCAACCAGCCAAGTCAGAGAGTAACAAATTCCAGAAAAATATCTTATTTCATATATCTGTGTATACCATCTCAAAATCTTGGACAACATATTCTCTAAAATATTTTTGTGTAATATGTGTAATGTAACTGCTGAAGGTTATGAAAGTCTATGTCGATGTTAGAAATGGTTAAAGAAAGAAAGAAAGAGAGAGAGAGAGAAATTAATCAGGTCACATGTTTTAGGCAAATGAATTCATGTTTATAGCCAAGTTTGATTTCAAAGATTGATTATTTTTTTAGGATGGTATTTGAAAGATCAATGTGAGATAGCAGGACTTAAAAAAAGAAAGGAATAACATAAGAGATAAGAGAAGAGAAGAAAGAACAAACTGAGCATCAAGGAAATAGAATTTTTATTTTCTCTTTTGTTTACTTACGGCCGGCAATTTTCACTGAGTTTAGATGTCACATCTTGAGTGCTACATTCACATGTTTTGCCACTATATCCAGGATCACAAATACAAAGGCCACAAGTCAATGTTCCATTTCCATTACACAATGGACTTTTTGGTACCTATGGTAGAAAAAAAAATAAACAAACAATAAAAGAACAAAATCACTTTCATTTATATTAGTGATTTTTTTACGTCCCAGATATTAAACAACGTTATCCTTAATTGATGGGCTGCTAAAGTTTCAAAACAATAGTCCATACAATAAATTGAACACAGGGCCCATGAGATAAGAGTAATGTTTCTTAATTGGGCCTGAAAAAATATATACTTACAAATACTCCTGGAAAAGTCATGAAACTATCTTCCCCTCGTTATGAGTTAAATAACAAGATAGACAGAGTTCACCTAACTGTACTGGTTTAACCTTTCCTTTGGATTCTACTGGCAATGCAAAGAGAGGGATCTTGATGTAATGGCAGCCTAAGATATCCATGGGGGATGAAACACTTTGCACTACACTAGAGACTAATAACAAATTTTATCCTTTTCATATCCTCAACAGAAAGGAGAAAGAAAAGGTTAAAAAAAAAAAAAATACAAAAACCTTGGTAGTTGGGAAAGGCTGGAAAAATATATTTCAGCTAAAATGAAAATAAATAATATATGAAATAATGAAAACACTGCATTGCAAAACTTCAGGAAAACCTGTTTTTCAAACTCTCTAGCAACAACTGAAAATTAGTTGCATTCAGTTTTTCATATCTTAAAACATTTTTATTATTCTATTGATTGTTTGAACTTATCTTTAACTCAGGCTCTACTAACACTTCCAATACTGTAGACATATGTATACGTCTTTACAAAACTTACATTGCCTGCTGAAGATGTATACATACATTTTCAGGATCCATTTTCATTTTCTAAGATGCTGGAAAACAGTTGGCTTCCTGCACCATTCCACAAAGTATCTGAGATCTCCTGCCATGCTCTATCTTTATAAGAGCCAGACGATACTAAAAATGGAATGTTGCTTCCACATCCAGCCTGCAATCCTCACTTTGCAAGCTCAAGCATTCAATGGCTGATGAATTGTTTTCCACCCTACAATCCCTTTCCATGTGGATGAAATATTGCTAGCTTCATTTAATCTATCATTATTTTCATAGCAGATGGTGAAGCGAGCTACAATCCATTGTTCCACCAGTTCAGACCTTCACAGCTAAGACCCACCAGGCCACATACACAGAGTTAAATCATCCTCATTCTTTTGATATTCAACTGGTAAGGAGAAAGTTCCACTCAGACAGCTTATTCTGCAGAAATGTTGAATTATGGAATGAACTCCTGAGAGGATGCTCCCTCAATCATGACAATCATAAACTCTTCTAGTAGAGAGTCAACTGTATCTATCCACATTTCCTTATAATATTCACCTTTTGCTCCTCCCTGTGCACAACAACCTCATTTAGTAACCCTCTAACTTAAGTGACTCTTAAGGCTTGTACTGGGTGAATACTAGAAATAAACATATTTATACACCTTTACAAGACTTACATTGCAGGCTATATTATATATATATATATATATATATATATATATATATATGTGTGTGTGTGTGTGTGTGTGTGTGAGATGGTCACCATGACATGTGGCTGAAACATTGTAAAGGTACTTATGTTTTTTATTTGCCAGTATGCAGACATTAAATTTTTCCATTGCCCAATTCCTTACTCAAATCATAGACTTCCACACTAGTTTCCCTAGCCAAGCTGTGCAACAGGCTTCACTACTGGATTTATTTCTTACCGCCTCTCCTTGCCGAGCTTTGCAATACTGCTCCTTTTGTAATTCGGACCACTCTGTGGTAGCTGTGATATTTTGTTCCAAGCCCCCATTAAACAGGAACCTCCTACCCATAAGACCTCTTTCTGTTACCGGCATGCTGATTGGACTCATTCCATGATTTTCTTTATGACACCCATTGGACTGACATCTCTGACCTTCCAATTGAAAATTGAGCCACTGAGATCTCTTCTTGGGTCAAAGCTGGCATAGAACTTTTCATCCCTTCTTGGAAATATCAGGTGAAACTGTAATCATCTCCATGGTTCACACCAGCATACTCGGCCAGCTTCAGAAACATATTAGATCTGGTTTTATTATTAAGTATCTTTGTATCTTAGTGCCTTTATTGCCTTGCTTGGGGTGAAATGATTAAAAAAATGGGGGGGGGTTTAAGATAATAACTTTATTCTATCATTAACACTTGATTTAATTTTGTGACCACCCCTTTTGCCTTGATTCTACAGCCAGACTATTGTCCTCCTCTTTATTGTTATAATCACAAAATTCCAGCCATTGTGGCCTCCAATTTTCGTCAAATGTTTCTTGATCCATGTAACCTTCGGTAAATTTTGAACTGGACCTGTTATTTAATCTACAAAGGTCGACTGTTTTCGTTTTGCTGAACATGTCATTTTGTCCATATTTAGTAATTATTTGTATGAGAAAATAGCCTGGTGGATTAAAGTGATGATTCGTGAATCTGGTGGCACTATAATTGTGAGTTCAATTCCAGAACTGGGTAGTGCAGTTATAGATTCAGCAGAAACAATGTGAACAATAACTGAGCAGTACTAAATAAGAAAAAAAATTCTTAGACATGAACATAACAAGAATTCTATAGATAAAAAAAGTCCCAAATTCCCTAAAGTTTATCCAGTAAACATCTGATGAATGCTAGACGGCACAATAACTGAAACATTGTGATAACAACAGAGAGGAGGAGGAGGAGAGTGTAAATAATGTAAATAACTCCAAATCTTAGAAACTGAAACAGAAGTTTAAAGTTTAACTAAATATTTTCCATTATAAATATAAAAATAATTTTTTGTTTTGCAAGTAAATATTGCATTAAATATTTTTATTGAGAACAAATTTTTTTCCAGATACAACTCTTAGTATTTAACCCATAGCTGGGTGGGTGAAGATGGATGCATACCTTTCATAAGTGCATTTGTGCAAATGAAAATATAACTGAGAAAAGTTGAAATTTAAAATGCTCTTTGTCGATTTTTTTTTTGTTGCTCCGGTTCCTCTCTACTAGAATAAACCACAAGCCAATGGAATTACAAAACCATCAATAAAAAAGTACCAATAAAAGAACTAGGGATATTAGAATCTGTCTTCTGGTCAACACCTGTTGTAGACAGCTTGAACAAGTTACAGGTTTTTTATATATATATATATATATATATATATATATATATATAATAGCGATATCAGAGATAGTGTGAAGCCAAAAATGCTGTCAGTCAGTGGGATACTAAGAGAAATGATTTAAAACAAGGCGTCTTTAATGCAAACATTAAAGTGCTCAATATCAGAGATAGAGCTTTTATAGGATTAATACAAGTAAAAGGTTTATCACTTTGATGATTGAGGTTACCTTGAACATCCTGACTCCAGAGTTTCATAGATGGACTCTCCAGGAATCACTGTCCACTTGTCAGATGGTATCAGCAATTGACTGCTTACACTTCTTGATTTTTCTTTGATATACATTTTTCATTGGTACAATTTATAGTGTGTTTGTGTGTGTGCGCCCATGCACCCATCTGTGTAGAAATTTATTGTTATTTTCATCATTTTTTTTTTTTCACTTTACACTCACTCCTTAAATTTCTCTTTTTCTTCTTTTCTTTCAATTGTAGTCATTTTGACATCCAGTTTTCTAGACATATACTGTCATTGTTAATTAAAAAAGAAAAATCTACAAAACTCTGGAGGATACTGAAGGTAACATCAATCAGCTAAGTGACAAACCTCTTGCTTGTATTAAATATATATATATATATATGCATCTAGCATATCTCTATTACAGATGCATAGTCTAGCTGTGATTTATACTGCAACTATGCTGAGTGAGCCTAAGTTAGAGTTTCTGGGAGAGAATGCATAATCTGGTGTGATCAATTTTTTTGAACAAGGCCGCCAATGTGCTCAACCACTGATGACTTGTGACTACCAACATCAAGTACCTCCTTGCTTTGATAGTTTTTTTTTTTTTTCTTGTATTTCTTTATTGTATTTTGTTAAAATAAAATCCTGTAAAAAATACTATTGGTAAAAATTTTGGGCGAGACAAGCCCCCCCCGTCACACTATACCTAGCTATCTTGGTATAACAAATATGCTTGATTGTGATTAAACTAGTTTCTTTAACATTCTGACACTGTGTGTATAAATAACCAAATTAGGTAAAGTTTGTAAATTATATAAGAAATATATATTTCCAAATTAGAGAAAGTTTATAATCAAAACAAATTATTTTTTTTAAATTAAAAAAAAATATTAGGACAGAAATTTATCTCCACATTGGAATTTTAAAATCTGGTCAAGAAAAATCATCACATTCACAATAAACACTATTATAAGCTTCTTTCCAAATGGAAAAAATCTGATTGTAAGCATTTATCACATTTACAAACATATACATACTTTATGAAATGGACAAAGTCCGACAATTATTTTAAGACATTTTTTTTATGTTTATATGTTCTTTTTATAGATACAAATATTTAAGTAAATACTCTGTTTATAATATTCAGGCCGGTAAATGTTATTAATATTGTTTATTATAAAGCATTTACTTAAATATTTGTATCTATAAAAAAGAATGTATAAACATAAAAAAAGTCTTAAAATATACATACTTGTTACTGTACATTAGTTGCTAATATAATGAGCAGAGGTCCCCAGAAAAAAAAAAAAAATCCAGGAGTACCACAATTTACCATCCACAAAAAATTAAAAAAA